CATTTTATTAGCTGCACTCCAGCTCTTTGCTTATTTTTGACTCAAATAAACGGTCCTGGAGTCATTAGTTTGATACAATAAATACTACATCCTTCTCAGACAATATTTATACTGCTTCCTCCCTTTATCTTCCGTAAATGCTTGATGTTTTATTTGAAACAACTTGTAACTAAGCAGTTTTAAGTATCTGCTGTAACCTGTGACATGTAAGGACTTCAGGGGTTTATTTCTGAATCCTCCTATGAAAATAAATGCACTGTTGTGGGGTCAAAGTAGACACCTTCTATTTATTTATTTGTATTTGTTAGAGATGGATGATTTATTTTTCTTAAGCCATTCAAAAGACCTTAAAACTCCATGCTAACTGATCAGTCCGTGAAGACTTGGGGAACCCCAGAAGGGGTCTTGGAGCAGTTAACGCGCTAGGAAGGTACAACAGCAGTAATTCTGGCTTAGGAACAGGCTCAAATTCCCTAGATGAACAACATTTCCTTGCAAAAACTAGGGAGGAAAGGGTTGTGGTTGGGATCCAGCTAAGGTTGCCCTATTTCTGCGTAGGAATTGGTTCGTCAAGGCTGCTTTCCTGCTCGCGAGTTCTCACCGCGCGGCAGGGACGTCACTCACCCTCCTGCCCTTTGAAGGCCGGAGCCAACGGCCGGGTCCCGGCGTCGCGGCAGGATGTCGCTGCAAGGGCCGCGCCGAGGAGCGACTTCTCGGCGACCAGCCCTAAAGCCGCGTGCAGCGCAGCCCCGACCTTGGGAAATTTATCTCATCCTGTTTGCAGTCACACAGAACTGTTTGCCAAATCTCTTAATATAAAATATTTCACGTCATGGATCGACAGAGTTCCTTTCTTACCCTTCCTTCCGTCCACACCAAATCCGATAAGAAATTACTCTCTTCTTCATGGGAGAAAGCTCAGAGGATGAAGATCCGGTCACTTTACGTGCTAAGGAAAGAAATCCTATTCTTTTTGCTGCTGAAACAGGAAACCTTGTCAGATCCTTCTGGACAATTCCGTTGTTGCATTAGAAGTACCACCCCACAGTGAAAATGGCAGAGGGCAACTCTGCCCTTGGAGTCCAGTGAAGGAGATGAAGGATGAGAAGGAAGTCACCGCTGCTCATGGCCTACTGCAGTGCTGCCTCCCTGCATCTTTAGTTGTCGTCCAGTTTTTGGTTTTGCCCAGCTTCCGTTTTTAGATGTCGCTGAGGGGAATGCAACGTTCAACCCAATTTCTGCTCCTGATCAAAACATTTATGTTCTAATTCACCAGACTTCTCAACACAGGTTGTTCCGAGACTCCTGTTTGAGGTGAACACGCACCCCACCTGCAACGTGCAGGTGCCTCCAGGTCCCTCCAGCCCCTCGTCCCCTGCTCTGCTCTCCTCTCCGGCACCTCCTCACGAGCTCCCAGGCCCTGCGTGGGCTTTGCCCAACGTCCTGCCCTTCTGCCAGGCTCCCTGCTCACCAACGGGTGCCCCGGCCACCACCTGGCTACGCCAATTCTCATCTACGTCCACCTGTTATTTCCCAATGGATGTTTTTGCTGATCCAGGATCTACCCTGGACGGACAACCTCCCGGGCAGCGCAGGAAGCCGTATGCGCCGTGCGGCTTTATCTCGTGCTCTTTGTTTTTTTCCTCTCCGTTTTGGACAACACAGAACGTGTGGTTCCGATAACCAGTTTGTTCTGCAGCGAGGAGACACACCCAAGGGCTCTGTAAACGTTGCGAGTCGTATCTAATCCATTATTCACTAACTGCTCCCGCTTCCCACTCCATCTCCCGCGGGGAGGCAGCGCTCGCGACACAAATGTCACCGCGGTCTCATGTGACAGGTGGCGGCGATGCAGCTACGTCAGCTTTTAATGTCACTGCTGTTCATTGGGAACACACGGTGCGAGCAGAAGCTGCCTGCAGGCAACGTGGTGGATCCTGGTCGCACGACGAGGGGCCCATCTCGCACCCAGCTGCAGGGCTCAATCGGTAGCGACGCTGCAGTACAGCAGACATGAGATTACTGTGTTCTGCTCCTACCTGCTGCATTATCATGATTGAAATAGATTTTTAACAGATTTTTGTTATTGGCATTTCTTCAGGCTTAAGACTGGTAGTTATAAGACAGTGATTTTTGAGGTTATCATTTCAGTTTTATAGCAGAGAGAAAAAGAAGTGACTTGCCCAGTATCGTACAGTTCAAGAACAGAACCTTGGTCTGTCACCCATCCTTTTCCCTCTTTTACAAGGATATCCCACCGGCGGAAGAGCTACCAGTTTTGGAAGGCTGCTCACAGCCTATTAAATCTAATACACACTGGCTTTGTTAGATAAAGCTGAGGGAACACATGCCCATAACAAGTCTAAATAGTCACTACCCCGTCACAGGAACCATTGTACACAATGTTCTGCTCGTACCATTCACACATCCTTGCTGGCAGACTATGTACTCTAAAAATCCTTCGAAAACAAATTTACATTTGAGGATACAGCTCAAAAATTAAGCATTATAGAGAGTGTCTGCCACGAGGAATATTTGCCAGGAAAGCTTAGGCTGATCCATAGCTTCTTTTGCTGCCAGGCCCAGAAACTGCTGCATTCACCGACCTGACATGACTCAAGTCTCCTAAAGACTTTTTTTGTTGTTGTTACTTACTGTCTGAAAGTCGGTAGTCTGCCAAGAAGCCAAGGCACAGCCCTACGCGTGATAAACATCTCTCCATTTGGATTTCCCAAGGTTTGGGAAAAGTTAAGCAATTCTCACTTCATAATCCTTGCAACTCTCAGAAAGCCATTTCTATGTATAACAGCACGCTGTGATGAGAATCACATCCGAGCATCGTGCTATGACACGGAGCTGTGGGCTAAAGTAGCTGATCATACCCACACGTTAATCAAAAACACAAGCTGTCACTGCAGCTCTGAAGTGCCACAAAGCCTTGCCTGCTTGTTCATTCTGAACACTTCTGGCAGAGCCGTTCAAAGGGTTCCTGAATTACTATAACTACTACATGAATGCAAGAAAAGCAAAGATTGCAACTGCCAATCGACAAAGCAATCATTGTGTGCAGGGAGATTGCTGGCCACTGAGGCAATTAATCCGTTTGGTTTGCCAGCTCCGAAGGTGACATTCTTTCATGGGGACAGAGGCAACCCGAGTCCCAGCCGTAGCGCCCAAGGTCCCGCGCCACGGTCACGCTACAGGTATCATAAAAGGGTTAGGAGTTACAGCATTCAATTTCGGTTCTGGCCGTTTACCCTTCAACATAACAAACATCCCTGAAATCTCAATGATCAAATGTTAAATAGGATTTAGTTCTGAAGTGATTTCCTAATAGGCTTCTTTGCAAAGGATCTGCTGTTGACTTGAAGGGCTGAATGTTTGCTTGGCAACAAGCTATTACTAGTAGTTCTAGGTCCTTCCAATTGAGAACTCGATTTATAAGTGGCAAGAAGTGATTGCCAACAAATGGCTGATTGCAGGAAAGTTTAAGCTAAGTTTTGCTATGATGCACCAAGTCTTTCACAATCTGGAAAAAAAAAAGCCAAACAGTTTATTTCAAGTAATAGCAGGAGAAATATAGTCAACGATGCAGCATGAATGTTGTATCATTTCAGTAATACTCAAAAGTACTAAATTCAACCTCTGCTCTAAGAGCGCAGCACTGGAGGGAAAGAAGTAGACAGGTGGAATTAGAAAATAATGTTGTGACCCTGCATTCACCAGTGAAACACAGTAAAAAGTCAGACATTATTATTTAAGAAAAATTTCTGGGAGAAGCAGCAAAAGCCTCGAGAAGCAGCAAAAGCTTTGTGGAACCAGTCACAGAAACTGCACCGTTGTGACACACGGAGCAGTTTTTCCTGCTTTTCAACCCAAAGGTGCTCCAGAAGGTCTCAAATGCCCCACCTAGTGGTTCAAGCCAGCAATGGAAATGCCACAGGAACACTTGGAATCGGCCTTTACTATGGAACACCGCATGCACTTAAATACCAACCCCGAGAGACGCTCCCAGAAGCTATAGCCCACAGACACAAGGCTTTGCTTCTAGCCCTCACACAGTCATGATAAACCTGGTTATAACGAATTCATCCTGATTTCCTTCATCTCTGCTTTACAGCAGTGATCTCTCAGGAATACAGTTTGACAGGACCACTCTTGACCAGAACATTTTGCCTCAAAAATAACAGCAGAATATTGTATTTTATCTTGAAGCCACCAGCTTCCTCCACCCTCACTCTGCACTGAGCCACCCCTCAGAGTTGAGGCCTGTACCATATGGGGAGTGCTCTGCACGCAGCTGCACAGTGCAAGGGTCACAGCCTGTTCTTGACACAACAGCATCGATACAAGCAGTGACTCACCGGAACATGTGTGCACAGAAAAGGGGAGCAAACACTGCACGTGGCTTCAGACCTTCTATAGCAACTGAGCCAAAGAAGGCTGCAGGGACAAACCCTCATCCGGGAGGAAGGCTGAGCTGAGCTGTACCTGCCTCCCAGCCAGGCTGGCAACCCAAAGGCAGCATCCTCCTCCTAAGCCCTACAGCAATATATGGGCATAACTTGTGTAAGCAAGTGTCCTGGTTCAGTGCAGGAGAGCTGAAAACACAGGAAAAAACATAGGACTCCAGCTAATTTATTTATATTTGTATTGAGTAAGCTTCTCAGAGGAGCCAGTGCTTGACATGACTGCATTAAAAACACAGAGGACAACACCTATCTAAGGAACTTTTTTTGGAGCTTAGTGTAATCTGCCATCTTTATCCCAGTTTATTTCTCAAGAAATATGCAACAATATTAACTAAGTTAAAGAAATAAACAAATATTCAAGCCCAGCAAATCCTCCCTAAGAAACTGTGCACTGAATCCAGTGATGGCACAAGAAAGAGCTGCAAATAGGCCTTGGATGACCTCTTTTGGGATAGAGGTGGCAGATTTTCAATAATCATTGCAAGGTAACATATATCATACCAAGAGAACTTCCAGCTGTCACTTCTGGCAGTTCTAAAGAGTTATTTTAGTTTAGGGAAGATTCTAATAAAAAGGATCATACTGATGAATATAAAACAAACTACAATTAACATTATCCAAAGTAGCCAGTTGACTGATTTCTTTGCGTGCTGTTCGAGGCGGTCAGATTCGTCCTTGAGCTTCTCAAAGTTCTGGTCTGCCATTTTGAGGGAATGGGATAAAGTCTGAGAAACAAAGAGAAGAAATGGGGCATCAGTAGACATACAGGGAGAGGAAAATGCACTAAGGCTGCCCGGTTAGGTCAGCAGCAGCAACACTGAGAACTCCTTTTTTTCAGTAGAGACAACTGCTCTACTCGTGACTGAGTTGGAAAGACAAGTTCCTTACCTTGAGATTAGGACTTAATTTTTTTAAAAAATCAAATTGTTAAAGTGAAGTACTAGTAGTACCACAAATACAGCAGCATTTATAGAAACTTACAACTCCTGAGGTCAGACCCCTTTCAATTTCAATTACATTTCAAAATTCTGACCACTTATTCCTTACAACAGAGGAAAAGTTCAACTTCCTGTAGAAAGCAGACAGGTATTGCCTGCAACCTTTCCTAAACTAATCCCATCTGGAAGCAAATTACATGCATTGTAATTAATACATCAGCATTTCATTCTTCGAGGTCATTAAACTGGAAGCCTACCACCATAATACGCTTTACCTGGTTATCTTGTTTTATCACATTCTGTGCAGCCAGAGTGTTGTTTTTCAGACTGCGAACCAAACTTAGCATTTCTTCGGCTAACTTCTCCTGCATATCCTGATGGCGTTGCAACACGGCATCGAGCTCGACTGCAGACTGCTTCTCATCAGACGCAAGGCCCCTGCAAGAACACGAGGGAAAAAGTCGACAAGACAAAATAGTTAAGTCAGCTGAAGCCATTCGTAGTTAGGTTTCTCCAAACAGGCACTAGATTTCACCCAAATGGGAGGGCATTTATGATTAGAACAGCTTTGGAAAAGCATTTTCCAAAGCATGAATCATCAGAACACAAAACTTCGACTTACTTCCGTTTCCTTACACTCAACTCTTCAGAATCTGTGGAAAAAAAAAGAGAGAGGAAAAAAAAAAAGAAGTTTAATGCATATTAGAACAGATTATAAATTCCCACACAATCACAAGCTGAAGAAACAAGTCTTCTGTAAGAGATTTTTAGATGTCCAGAGATACCCCTGCTTGGGTCCTCTATTTCAGCCAGATTTCAACTGCCTACCTGCTTCCCCCATGGAAAAGACAGCACATGAGATCATACATATGGTCGAAGGGGGAAAAAATTAAATAAAAGAACACGCAAACACAGGAATGAATCACATCCCTGAGGGCATGGCTTAGGCTTGTGTGTCCTAGCGTTCTCTTTCAGGAGACATTAGGCTGGCCTAGCTCCAGCCACGTTAATAGTAGCTATGGAAACAGCAAATTAATTCCTACCAGTTCCCCACACAACTAACGTGGCTATCTATTTAAGAGGAACTGAACGCATGATTTGGTCTGAGCAGAAAGACCAGAAGCAATAATAAGCCTAAATTGTCCTGGCTAGTTCTATAATTAGAATGTCTGCTTCTGTATGACTTCTGGCAAAATAGGTTCCTGCCAATGCCTGCTGCTGTGCTGATAATGCACCTGTACTTTCAGCTGCTTTAGTGTTTTATTTGCTACCCTGGAAATAAGAGTTCCAGAGTTGCGAGCTGCTCGCTTAAGGTACGCTTTGTGTAACACCCAACCTTCCTATCCTTACAAGATTGAGATCCTCTAAAGTGATTAAACAAAAACACTCACAACTTACCATTGATATCTACAGGATCCTGGGGAGGCAGAAAGAGAAAAGAACTATAAGATTAAATTAGACCACTGAAAGGGTACATACAGTACAATCACAGATAGCCTGCCAGGCCCAGCAGGGTCCCTGTGCCTGGCACTCGGTCAAACAAAAAAAAACCTGACTCCCCACCCAGCCCAAGACACATCTGAGGCAGCTGAATGCCACAAAAGACCATCTATGAACTCACAATAAAGAAACAGCAGCACCAGAACATACTGTACCAAGCAGCTCACTCCTCATCTTGCCTGTGCAACGAGCCTTTGTCTGCAGATGAACCGTTTTGGTGGCTGGGGTTCTCTCTTTGACTGTCGTAGGGGTGCGTCCGGGGGCCAAGAACTGATTAGCCAGGGCCTTTTCAGTTGATGATGGCTAAAAGCAGGGGAAAAGCAGGAAAGTCCTGAATATCACAGTCAGCAGAGCGAGAGCCGCTGGATGTGTGACCAACAAGGGCTCCACAGCTGCTTCCTGCAGAACAGTGACACGCTCTGTGGACAGGGTACTGCCGCACAGGTTGTCACAGCTCTGCAGGTGTGCATGGGGCCATACAAAAACATGTTGAACCCAAAAAAGACAGTGCCACCACCATACCTCCCATCACAGAAGGGGAGCAGAGACAAGACACGTTGTCATATGTTTTTGAAAAGGAGTTCTTTACTTCACATGCCACTAAAAAATATATAGAACCTCTATTCTCATAAATTGCCAAAACAGCAAGTGCTATTTTGAGAGATAAAATAAAGGCACAGAAACAAGACAACGTGAAAAATGTAAAGTGGGAAAACTTATTGGAGCCTTTTCAAGATGACCTAATATATCTTACCAATTTTTCGGCTTCTAAAAGTCCCTTTAGAAAGTCTACTTTGCGGGAGTATTCATTCAACAGCTCTGGGGCAGGTTTGCTACAAAAGAAAGAATGGAAGAAACAAACAAAAACAAACCAAAGTGATGAAAAGTGGAAACATCAGTATGTTGTGTTTGTTTAGGCAACTTTGAGTGGAAATACACCTGCAAATAAGCATCTTTTAGGAAAAACAGGTGCAAGACAGGAGTAATCCCCGGAGTGGGGACGAGGG